GGAGTGAGGGGCACCGGCAGAGCTGGGGGTGGGGAGCCCAGGGCTGGGCTAGCAGGGGCTGCGGGTCGGGAGTGAGGGGCATTGGCAGAGCTGGGAGCTCTGGCAACGCGAAGCGAAGGTGCTTGCGCCCCTTGCTGGGGGGACCCTGTCGCTGCAGGCCCTGGGGTGACTCTCTCTCTGTCCCGGCAGCTGCTGAAGAAGATCAAGCGCTGCGAACGCAAGGGCTCCGAGTCGGTAACGGAGGAGAAATGCGCCGTGCTCTTCAGCACCGATGTCACCTTGGGTCCCGGCAACCTGCCCTTCCACCTGCAGGTACGGGGCTGGTGCTACGGGGGAGGGCGGCTCCTGGCTCCCTGTCCTGCCCCTGGACCCTGGCGGCTGGGGTAGGGGAGGGAGCAGAACGGGGGGGTCCCCACCAGGATGCCTGGGTCCATTTGCATCGGGGGCCCGTTCTTCCGAGGCTGCCGGACACAGGCCGACCCCGGGGCTCTCGCTCCCAGCCGGCGCTGCCTGGTCTCACCACTGGGGGGCGCTGCTGAACCCTCCAGCCCCCGCCTGGGACCCGTGCCTACCCCGGTGTCGGTGTGTGCGCCTGCTGGGCCGTCGCCCGGCCCGATGCCAGGGCGGGGGTGGGCACAGGGGTCCTATCCCCCGCCCCCAGTGACGGGCCGGCACCCTGTGCTCCCCACTCCAGGCCCTGTCTCTGCCGATCGTGGTCATTGTGCACGGGAACCAAGACAACAACGCCAAGGCTACCGTGCTGTGGGACAACGCCTTCTCCGAGCTTGTGAGTGCGGCTGGGGGGGGGGGGGGTTCTAGAGGTTAGAGCTGGGGGGGCTGGGAGCCGGGACTCCTGGGTTCTTTACCCAGAGCTGGGAAGGGAGCGGGCTCTGCTCGTTAGAGCAGAGGGGACAAGGAGCCAGGACTCCTGGGTTCTATCCCTGGCTTTGGGAGGGGTGTGGGGTCTAGTGGGTAAAGCGGGGGGGCTGGGAACCAGGACTCCTGGGTTCACTCGCTGATCTTGGCCTGGCTGCTCCCCACTAATGAACGAACGAGGAGGAGAATTTAACTCCGAACTCGCTGGCAGGGCCTGGGCCGGCCGGTGCCCAGATGCCGCCACCCCGAGAACACGGAACCCCAGCGGCCCGGCTCCCGATGGGGCAGAGGGCTGGGGCTGGTGCCTGACCCTCCCTCCGTGCCCTGGGGCAGGAGCGGGTCCCATTCGTGGTGGCCGAGCGGGTGCCATGGGAGAAGATGTGCGAGACACTCAACCTGCGGTTCATGGCGGAGGTGCAGACCAGCAAGGGGCTGCTGCCGGAGCATTACTTCTTCCTGGCCCAGAAAATCTTCAACAACAGCAGCGCCAGCCCCGAGGACTTCCACAACCGCAGCGTCTCCTGGGCCCAGTTCAACAAGGTGAGGGGCGGGGGGCGGCCAGGGCAGGCTCTGGGGGGGCAGGCTCTGCCCTTGGGGACCCAGCCTCACTCCCTCTCTCCGGCTGCTCACAGGAGATCCTGCCTGGCCGGGGATTCACCTTCTGGCAGTGGTTTGACGGGGTCCTCGACCTCACCAAGAGGTGCCTCAAAAGCTACTGGTCGGACAGGTGGGTGCCTCAGCTCGGCCTGGTAAAGAAGGAATGGGGGGGGGGAGGCGTAGGGGTTCACCTCAAGAGTGGCAGACCCAGGGACAGAACCCAGGTGTCCTGACTCCCAGCCCCCACGCGTTAAGCAATAGACCCCGCTCTCCTCCCAGAGCTGGGGATAGAACCCAGGCATCCTGCTCCCAGCCCCCACGCGTTAACCAATAGACCCCGCTCTCCTCCCAGAGCTGGGGATAGAACCCAGGTGTCCTGACTCCCAGCCCCTCTGCTCTAACCACTCAACCCCATTACCCTCCCAGAGCTGGGGATAGAACCCAGGCGTCCTGAGACCCAGTCCTCCCCCACCCCATCCTAAAAAAGGTCACATGTTTTCCTTGCCCAGTGAAATGAGCGGGAGGGAGGCCAGAGAGGAGTGACTACAGCTTGCTCTCTGATCAGTCTGTCTGTCCATCCCTGTCGCCCCCCACCCGTTTTCTCCCCCCCCCCCCCCCCCACGGCTCATCATCGGCTTCATCAGCAAACAGTACGTCAGCAAGCTACTGGGCCAGAAGCCCGACGGGACCTTCCTGCTGCGCTTCAGCGACTCGGAGATCGGCGGCATCACCATCGCCCACGTCATCCGCGGCAAGGACGGTAGGAGGGGGGCGCCCTCTGCCCTGCCCCCCGGCTAGGGGCTCGCTGGACGGGGCGGGGGGCGGGGGAGAGGAGCAGGGTTCTCTCTGGGCGCCGCAGAGCGCAGCACTCTGCCCCAGCCAGCAGGGGGCAGAAGAGCTGAACCCCGGGGCAGGGGTAAGGGGGCCGGAGCACCCCCCGCCCACGCTGAGCGGTCGCGCTGTGCCCCCCCCCAGGCTCCATCCAGGTGGAGAACATCCAGCCCTTCTCCGCCAAGGACCTGCACATCCGCTCCCTGGGCGACCGCATCCGAGACCTGGCCCAGCTCCGCAACCTCTATCCCGACAAACCCAAGGACCAGGCCTTCGGCAGCCACTACAACAGTGAGTGTCCGGGGGGGGGGCCCGGGGACACGCCCCCAAAGCCTCCTTGTGGGATGGGGCGGGGGGGTTCTCTGCTGCCCCGAAAGGGGCAAGATCAACTCCAGGGCTGGGCAACATGCCCTGGAGAGGGTGACAGGGGTGATGCCACAGCACATTGGCCCCGGGCCCCGTTGGCTGGGCGTCCCGCGGGCAGGATCGGGGCAGCTGCAGCCAGGGCCTGGAAGGTAAAGTCCACAAGTGATGGGTGGGCAGAGGGGGTCACCTGGCCCTGCCCCCACGTGGACCCCTCGCCACCTTGGAGCAGCTGCAGTCGCAGCCCATCCCCCCACCCCCACTTCCCTGGGTTTGGCTCCCCGGGGGTTTCACCAGCTGTTTCCTCCTGCAGAGGAGCAGATGGGGAAGGACGGCAGAGGCTACGTCTCCACTGCCATCAAGATGACGGTGGAAAGCGAAAGGTAGGTTGGGGAGGGGGGTGTGGGGGGGTGTGAGGGCAGCTGTTCCCCGGGGCCCAGGGCCGGCTGCCCGTCAGCCGATCCCCAGGGCCGACCACCCGTCAGCTGTTTGGCCAGTGGTGGGAGATGCTCGCGGCGGGGGTGTGGGAGGGCCTTGGGAGAGGGGGCGGGAAGAGGCGGAGTGAGGGTGGGGCCATGGGGGAAGGGGCAGAGCCAGGGTGGAGCACCCACCAGGACAAGTACAAGTCCATGCCTGTGCCCCCGATGCCCTGACAGCCCCCTCGATGCCCGTCTCTCTGTCCCCCGTCGTGCCGCTCCCATGAACGGTGGCGCTGTGTCTCCGCAGGGATCAGAAGCTGCCCCCCCCAGGAGTCTCCCCAAGTCGGCCCACCCCCCGGCCCGGCGAACATGTACAACTTGCCAGGGCCACCCCCCGAGCAGCCCATGGACCACCTGTGCCAGGTGCTGGCGCCCGACATGTGGTAAGACCCCAGCTCCCCCCCTGCTGCTTTCAATAAGTGCCCGGTCGATACGTCAGCCCCCGGAGCAGGGGCCAGCAGGTCGGGCTGCCGTTCTGTGCCCACGGGGGTTGGGTGAAGCCAGCCCAGCTTGCGCCAAGCGGGGACCCAAGCCAGGCGTTCTCCCCAGATTGCCACGGGGGAGAGGCCGGTGCCCTGCGGCATCCAGCCCCAGAAGCTGCGGTTCAGCCTGTGCCCCCTGCTGCTGTGTCGCTCCCTGGGGCAATTACGCTCTTGGACCCTGGCGTGTGGAGAATCCCCCTAATGCTGGGTGCTCCAGCCACGCCCTTTACACTGGGGGTTGTTGCCGGAGCGGCCTGAGAGTCTGACCAAGTGCTAACTAAGGCTGCGTGCATCTGTTTGCTGCCAGCTCTTCCCCGTTCCCTGCCCAGATGGTCCTGTCCCAGTTCCGCGCCCCGGACGAGGGCAACATGAGCATTCCCAGTGCCTCCCCTTTCCACAGGTAGGTGCAGTGCCGCTCGCGCCAGGCGCTCGTCACGCTGCGGGCAGGGCCGGGAGAGGGGGGCCGGTGCGGATTTGGGCTGTGTGGGGCCTGGGCGGTGGATGGCGGCGGGACCAGCCCGGCTCTTCGTCTCCCTGTAGGGACAACCGACTCCGTGTGCAACGTAGGAGAGAAACCCAGGGAGCGGGGCAGCTGCTGTCCGTAGGCCAATGCACCCGCTCCGACAGCTTGATGCTCCTCCAGCCACTCAAGCCTCTTAGAGGGGAAAAGCCCCGAATCCTAGTGCCTTGCCCTGCCCCCAGACCTAGCCCTGGGGCCGGATCGAAGGCCCCATTCCTCACCCCCGAGCCAGTCAATCCCTGCCCTGGGCCAGATGGGAGCTGGTGCCCACTAGAGGGGAAAGGCCCCGAATCCTAGTGCCTTGCCCTGCCCCCAGACCTAGCCCTGGGGCCGGATCGAAGGCCCCATTCCTCACCCCCGAGCCAGCCAATCCCTGCCCTGGGCCAGATGGGAGCCGGTGCCCACTAGAGGGGAAAGGCCCCATGTCCCACCCCGAGCCAGCCAGGCCAGCTTGCCCCAGGGAGGGCCTGATGCCCCAGGGAGGGCCTGACGCCCCAGGCAGGCTTTCACTCTAGGGGCACTTGCTGAGGAGGTAGTGGTGTCTCCCGGTCCCCGGAGAGCAAGGGGTTAATCTCGCCTTCCCCACCTCCCATAGCCCCTTTTAAAAACTCCCGGTTTTTGTCCCTGCAGCAGCCCCCCTACGCTCCTTCCGGCGCCCGTGAGCACCACGACCACCCCGCTACCCCTCGGCCCCAACGTCGTCTTCGGCTGCCAGTCCCTGTCGCCGTAAGCCAACCAGCCCCCGCCTCTGCCCAGCCCCTAGAGGGGATATGCCCCATTCCCTGCCCCCGACCCAGCCAGTCCCCCGCCCTGGGGCCATCTGGGAGCTGGCGCCCCCTAGAGAGGAAAGGCCCCGTGTCCCATTCCCTGCCCCCAGCCAGCCAGTCCCTGCCCTGGGGCTAGGGTGGGAACTGGCGCCCCTTAGAGGGGACTGGCTCCATGTCCCATTCCCCACCCCCAGCCAGCCAGTCCCTGCCCTGGGGCTAGGGTGGTAGCTGGTGCCCCTTAGAGGGGACTGGCTCCATGTCCCATTCCCCACCCCCAGCCACCCAGTCCCTGCCCTGGGGCTAGGGGGGAGCTGGTGCCCATTTCTCCCCCGGCTCCCTCTCACCCGCTGTTCTGTGCCCGGCAGGAATTTGCTGTCCTACAGGTACTTGCCAGGGGACCCCATGGCCCTCGTCCTGGAGGACCTGCCTCCCAACCCCATGGACGAGGAGATGCCGGAAATAGCCCCCTTCTCGCCCGCCAGCCACACCTCTCCCTTCGGGACCCTCCTGCCGGCCCCTCCCCAGCTGCTGGCAGCGAGGTAAGTGCCCCTGGAGGGGCGGGCAGGGGGACGGCCGGGGGGCTGGGCTGTGGCCCCCTTCCCAACCCGCCTCCTCTTTTCTCCCCGGCCAGCCTGGGCAACAACGTGGACTTACCCTCGGAGGACGAGATCACCCAGCTCTTGTACGAGGCACAGATGGAGGAGGGGCTCCAGCCCCCCACCCAGCCCTGCAGCTACGGCGACCCCATGGCCAACCCCAGCTGGTGACCTCGCGGCGGGGGGGCCCCCGCTGGACACTTTGGAGAGCGGCGCCCATCCAGGAGAGACATGGCGAGGGGCTGGGGGGTCTCGGCTGGGACCCTCCCCCAGCCGGACTTGAGCCTGGGCCTGAGCCGCGCTTGGGGGCTTGGCTAGGTGTGCGGGGGGAGGGGGGAAGCGGTGTGGCACATGGGGGGGGGGGGGCAGTCAGTGTTCCCCCCCATTGCCTTGTGTTAGCCAAGTACAAACACCGCACCATGGAACATGCTGACCCCCCCCCGACCCCATCCTGGGGTTGGCAACCACGGCAGCCCCCTTTACCCCCCCCCAGCTGGGCTGCTGCGGGGGGGGGGGGGAGGGCAGACATACCACCCATTCGAGGAGGGGGTCTGGATTTCAGCCTGGGGTGTGTGTTGTGGGGCTGCCGATTCCCCATGCAGGGGGAGGAGCCTGCTCTCCAAGGGGCGGGGGGGTGAGGTCAGGCTGGCTGTGCCCCCGCCCCCATCTCTGCAGCCTGGGGAGGGCCGTGGGTATTAGCAGCTGGTGCGGGGCAGGGGGATAAGGCTCCAGCTGGGCTTGATGGGGGGGGGACACACGGATACACGCAGCAGATGCCCCCTACCCTCTTCCCCCAAGCTGGGGCATGGCGGGCCAGGCCCAAGGCCCTGCCGGAGGAGCAGGGGTGGGCAGTGGAAAGGCTCTTGTGTGGGCTAGGACGAGTCACGAGGGAGGGGGCTGGTTTAAAGGGCCTGTACCTCGCCTCCCCCAGCCTTAGCCGCTATCCTTCCCTGCCCCACAGCTGGGGGCCTGCCCCTCCTCCCTCTCACGTCACAGGCCCTGCCCCAGGGCCGGCCTGAAGCACAGCTGAATGCTGGCCTGCCCCACGTGCCCCATAAGGGGGCAAGGGGTAGGTGGCTCAGCCCCCCGCCCCCTCGCAGAGGGACAGAGGCAGAGTCGATCCACGCTGCCTGCATGGGGCTTTGCTACTAAATGCTACAGAAAGAGATTCTGCCTCAGTTTCCCCATCCCCAGGGAGGCCAGAGCCTCTCACTCCTGCCCCACAGCCCCCTGCTAGCCCAGCGCTGCCCCTCCTCTCTTGCCCCCTATGCTCTGCCGCCCACCCCCATCCCATCCCATCAACCCCACCTTGCAGCTGGGGAGCGGGGAGGAGATTAAGCCATAAAATAAAGTTTTATTCCAAAATAACAAAATAAATAATCTACTGTACACGTTGCAAAGGAAAAGTCGCTAATGCTCTAAGCCGGCGGCCTACGGGAGCGTGAACGGGTCTCGAACCAGCGCTGCCGGGAACGGGGGGGGGGGTCACCAGCAGGGGCTCCACAGTGCAGCCTGGACCCCCACCCCCCAGCGCGTGAGGAGGTGGGGAACATCCTTCTGTGAAATAGGCCGAGGGCAGTGACACTGGTTCTGAGGGGAGCCCCCCCATCTTTTCCCTGGTGCCCCCACCAGCCAGGTGGCTTTTTAATCTGTTCTGCCCCCCCCTGCAGTGGTGACATGGGGGTACCCTGATTGTCCCTTTAAATCTCTCTCCCCCCCCCCTTAATGCCCCTCATGCTGGGGGCTGGATTGTCTGCCCTGTATGCAAACAGCCGTCCCCAGAGCCCCTAGGGTAGGGATAAAGCTGGTGCCTGGGTGTGTTATGGGGGGGAGGGGGGGGCTGATGCCCAAAGGACAGCACGTGCCCGCCCCCCAGCCCAGCAGGTGGGGTCGGCTGGGCAAGGGCGGGAGCAGGGATGGGGGTTGGATTTCAGGGTGTGGGGCTTGCAGAGCAGGCCGATCGCACTGCTGGGACAGTGAATTGGGGGGGTAGACGGGGAGTGGGGGGCAGTGGTGGAAGGGGGAATTTTGGGGAAGGTGTTCCCCCCCCCCCCAGGACCTCCCTGCCCTCAGCCTCTGCCCACCACAGCTACTGGGGGAGGCTGGGCCAAACCCTCTGAACTCAGAATCCTCTTCCTTGCCCCCTGGTGGCCCCTTCAGCCCCCCCAGGCCCTTTCAACCCCCCATTCTTGTGCTTTGCCTGCAAGAGCCCTTCCCTCTTCCTGGGGTCCCCCCCACTTCCTTTCTTCTCCCTCTCGGGGGAGGGGCGGATGAATGTCACCCCCCCCTTAACACCCCCTGGAACTGAAGAGTTACAATTCACATCACCCCAGCTGAGTGCAGGGGGCTGGGGTGGATTTTTGGGAGGGGGGGGGGGACTGCAGGGGGGCGATGTCTGGGGCTCGTGGCAGTCGGAACGTGACCAGCCGGTTCCATTAACCGCGCGGTGCCCTCCCCGCTGGCCCGTCCCTTCGCCCTGGGCATGGCCACATATCTGCTGTAGCTCTGCCCAGCCTCCCACGGGCATCAGGCCCCCAGGCCCGGCTCTCTGGGGAGCAGACGGGGGGGGGGGGTCTCCGGCACCAAGAGAGATCGTGGGGGGGCCCACCCGCCCCAGGCATGTGGTTATTGCTTGGTTAGTGGAGGGGGGGAGCTGCCGTGGGCCCCCACCCCAACCAAGGGGGCATCTGCGGCTCACTGCCGGCTGGTCTCCTGCTCCACCTTGACGCTGCTGCGGCGGGACTCAACCGGGACCGGGGGGCCCCCCTCTGCCAGCCCGTCCTCGAACTCTGCGGGGAGACAGGACCAAGGTCAGCGTCAGCCTGGGGGCCCCGTCCCCTCGCGCCGGAGCCCCCAGCATCACCCCCCCGCCCAAAGAGGAAACACCCTCCCCCCACCCCCACGGCTTTCAATGGGGTTCCCAGGACGTCAGCCGCCCCCGCCCCCCACTTCCTTCCTCTCCTGTCTGCGCGGGGCGGGGGGGAGGGGGGATTTCCACAATTGTTTCTTTTTTCCATTCAGTAACCGGTGAGACTAAGAGCAAATCAGAGCTGGGCCTGGGCCCCCCAGCTCCACCGGTGCCCCTCACTCCCGCCCCACAGCCCCTGCTAGCCCAGCCCTGGGCTCCCCCCAGCTCTGCCGGTGCCCCTCAGTCCCGACCTGCAGCCCCTGCTAGCCCAGCCCTGGGCTCCCCCCAGCTCCACCGGTGCCCCTCACTCCTGCCCCACAGCCCCCTGCTAGCCCAGCCCTGCCGGTGCCCCTCACTCCCGCCCCACAGCCCCTGCTAGCCCAGCCCTGCCGGTGCCCCTCAC